CCAACTTCATTATCAACACAAGGGGCACATCAGTGGGTGGATGAAGACAGGAATGGCCCAGTGATATGGGGGGAGCGTCCACCTGAAGAATTAACAGGTCAGTCTGGCATGAATGCAAATCAGGCTCCTTGTAATTTCACAGGCCAGCCCAAAGAGGGCAGGACATGCAGGGAGCACTTTTTCAATGCTCTTTGCAGGGTCCTACTTCCCCTTGTATAGCGTAATAGCATCTAATCCAAAAGGAACAAGGAACAAGTTGAGACCGCAGTACAGGACCCTAAATTCGGGACTGTCCCGCCTAAATCGGTATGGTGGGGAAGTGTGATTCTTGCCTAACTAGTGCCTATTTGGCTGCAGTGGGTCTATGTTTTCGGTTCTTCTGGGAAGATAAAACATCTCTTTATCTTCATCTTTATCCTGCTCCTCTTTTAAGATTTAACAGTTATGGATCATTAAAAGTTCTACTAGTTAGTATCATAGAAATGTATTTAAGTTACATAAGCCTAGGCTTAGTCTGTAGGATTATGGATCAAGATTTTCTCAGTCTGTAAAAATGTTTCATTTAAAGTAAATTTTCTCTAAGTACAGCTTTATCTTCATGTTTATCATTGCTCATCACTTCCCATGATGCTTCATGTTACATTTACACATCCCCTGCATTAAGCAAATATATATTTGTGAGGTGTGACAAATAAATTAAAATGAAGAAACCCAGGAGTTAGGACACCATTGAATGCATGCTTTGTAACAATTAGCGAGCTCCAGGATACTGCCTTATCTCCTGTTACATTTAAGGAGAAAGGAACTCTTAGACTGTACAGCATCAGGCCTTCTCTAACTCTTCCAGTTGTGTGTTTTTTCCATTGGAATATATGTTAACATTTTTAGCACCCTCTGTCTTTTATAATGCATAGCATAAGGGAACAGAAAATAGAAAACTGTTTTGCTAGCTGAACTGTTTTCCTGATCCTTCTATAGACCACCGCTTAAAGCAACCCTGTTATGTATTTTTTTCCTTTGCTCTTACTTTCCTTATGTCCCCTGTATCTTGATAAATTTTCATATATTTACAATTTGTTCATCCTTCTACTGAATGGCAATATCTAGGTGCATCCATTTTCCTCTCCTCTGCCTATGATCAGAGCCAAGCCTAGGCGTGGTGTGCAGCACTTGGCTCTGTCCCCTTTATATTAGGTCTTGCTTCCTCTTGTTAGGCTCTGGTGCCAATCGAGCAGGGGTGGAGCTTAATGAGAGGGAGCATGACCTAATGTGAGGGTCGGAGCCTAGTGCTACACACCCCACCGATCTGCCTCTTTGCACCCACCCAGGATTGGCTCTGACTATAATGTCTGCTGTTTGCCCTTCTATGGTATTCATTTTACAGAGGGATTGTGGGTAAATTTGATTGGCATCTGAGGCAGAACCTTGTTTTAAGCTCAGCCCATTGTAAAATTACGTCAACTTGACTACTTTACATAAGGAAAGGTAGTTACTACTTTCCTTTACGTATTTCTCATGATGTCATTAAAGTAACAGTGCTCAGGAAATAAAATAAAAATAAATTCAAACACAGTGAACTATGTTGATGCAGATAAGATAGAGTTTATTTTTTAGTGATAGAGCTGATTTAATGATATTGCACTTGGTAGAGACCCGTACAGTGCTAGTTTTTTTTTTTAACATTCAGCTAAATTTTGGAAATTGGTATCTCTTTATTGTGTTGCAATATGTTATAGAATTTGTGCTGTTATTTTAGTCTCCACTTATAAAACTTCTAACATCTATTAAATGAGAAATGCCAAAGTGCCAGGTATGTGAAATTTACATCACAAATAGTAGTGTTTTAAAATACAGGGTATCTGCAGATTGAAAATATTTTGTACTGGAATACATCTTGACTAAACTATGACTATGGAACAGTTCCATTAATGATAATGTTTTGTTTGAATCTTAACCCCTTCAGGACCGTCAGCGGTAAAACGTGCGTTTGGACCGCTGACGGTCCTGAACCGTCATAGCGAAAAATGGGCTGCGGGAAGCGATCAAAGATCGCTCCCACCAGTATAACGCTGTAACTATCTGCCAGAGATCCCAGGCAGATAGTAACAGCCAATTGTGGCGTGTGAGCAATCCGCGATCGCTCACAATTGGCTGCTGTCAAATTGTGACAGTGATCTCTGCCCCTCTCTGCCCCTCTCTCCTCTGTAGCGTTTTGTGAGGCGAGAGAGACAGAGATCGTAATAGTGCAGTTTGTTGCAGCAGATGTGTTCCAGAGCTTTATACAGTATCTAAAGTGAATAAAAAATCCTTTTTAACCTCTTCCCTGACAGATCTGTTTTTCCCCTTAAAGGGTTAAATTTGTTTTAAAAATCTGTGTCTTGGTCTGTCTTAGTCAGTCAGTTTCCTTCCCCCAAATCTCCATTCGATTTTTGTGACAGGAGTTAGTTTAGGGATTGCGGTTTTGTCTGTTTTAGTGAAAAAAAAAAAGTATAAAAAAAAATGTGGGTGTTTGTAATTTGTTTTAGTCGTGTGTAAAACATGCAGCGTATGTATAACTTGCAGGAGGCATATGCCTTCTTGGCATCAGACGCCACTGACACTGCATCAGATTTTGACCCAGGTCAGTTTTCTGACACATCTAGTCAAGACAACATGTCATCTGTATGTGAGCCGGCTGAAGAAAGAAGCTGTGCTTCCTCTGCTATGCCGAATGTGGAGGAGGACTGTGTACCTCCACAGTTAGCCGAGCCCAACGTCCCCCCTTTTAGTGTCAACGCAGGCATTAATGTTAATGTGGATGGCTTCTCCCCAATGCAGTTTGTAGAACTATTTTTAGGGGATACCATCTGGGAGGAGATTGCTTCCCAGACTAACTTGTATGCTACCCAATTTATTGATAACAATCCAGGTAGCTATACAGTGAGGGAGCATGACTGGCATCCCACAGATGTCCTAGAGGTTAAAAAATTCTGTGCATTTACAATGCTCATGGGGATTATAAAGAAGCCATCGATTCACTCATACTGGAGCACCAACCCAATAATGTCAAGTCCAGTATTCTCCCAAACCATGCCTAGAGCCAGATACGAGTTACTGCTGAGATTTTTACATTTCAGTGACAATACCCTCTGTAACCCTAGAGATCACCCCCAATACGAGAGGCTTCATAAAATACGCCCAATGCTAGACCATTTCCAGGACAAATTTTCAGATGTTTATACCCCCCAACAAAATTTATCCATAGATGAATCTCTAATGAAATACAAAGGGAGATTAGGGTTCAGACAATACATCCCCTCAAAGCGCTCTAGGTATGGCATAAAACTGTACAAACTGTGCGAGAGCGAAAGTACATACACGTTTGCCTTTCGTGTATATGAGGGGAAAGATGGTCAACTGGACCCTCCTGGCTTTCCTGACTCCCTGGGGACAAGTGGGAAACTTGTATGGGACCTACTAAAGCCCTTGTTTAATAAAGGTTACCATCTTTATTAGGATAATTTTTATAGTAGTGTCCGTCTGTTTAAAACACTTTATGGTTTACAGACACTGGCCTGCGGCACTGCCAGAAAAAATTCCAAAGACTTTCCATGATCTCTCATAGAGGCAAAATTAAAAAAGGCGAATGTAAAGCACTTCACAAAGCTGAAGTGCTTGCACTAAAATTTAGGGACAGGAAGGATATCAACATGCTAACCATCATCCATGACGAATGCATGTCAGACGTCTCTGTCCGGGGCAGAGTAGAGTCCAAACCGGTTTGCATCAGGGCGTATAATAAGTACATGGGGGGTGTTGATTTGGCTGGACAGCCATATCTTATTTTACGAAAAACCAAAGCATGGTATAAAAAGGTGGCTATCTGATGCAATTAGCAACCCACAACTCATTTTTGCTTTTTTTTTTTTTTTAAATAATCCAGGGAGAACCACCTTTATCCAATTTCAGTTGAAAATAATTTCTTTAACAATTAATGGAGATTGACAAGTTCCAACAACGGTGCAAGCTGAGTCCAGACATTTTATTTTTAAGTTACCGCCAACTGCTAGAAAACCTCCCCCCAGAAACGTTGCTGGGTCTGTTTTAAAAATAGGAAAAGGACAGACACCCCTTTTCACTGTCCTGATTGCCGTTTGAAACCAGGACTGTGTGTAGGAACATGTTTCAGGCTGTACCACACAGAACAGTTGTAAGAAGTGTTCCTGAATTTTTATTTTATTTTTTGTTTCTTTGGAAAGCAGCCATTTTTTGTTAGTCAGTTTCCTTCCCCCAAATCTCCAGTTAGATTCTATTTGCAGGAGTCAGTTTAAAGATTGCTGCTAAATGTACATTTGCTACCTGCACATTTGGTCTAACAAGTTTTCTGGCAGTAACACATAACCAGCTGGCCAAAATCAGATGACGTGTGCATAAAAGCCAGAATTAAAACATTACCACTACACTTTCTTTGGGGGGCAAAATGGTTGGGGGAAAGAAGTCTAAACACCCCATCTTCTATAACCTTTGATGTCTACTTTATAAAACTATATACTATATATACTGTCATGATGGTAACATTAACTGGGGGGTGCAAAAATATGTCAAACTAAAGATAGACCAAGCATACCTATATATCAAGTTGAAAAACTGACATGTACAAGTTCTGATTGTTGCCTTTTGGCCCCCAAACAACCCAGCAACCCTATACATGGGGGGGGGGGGTATCACTGTACTCGGGAGATGTTGCTGAACATATTGGGCAGTATTTGGCAGTGACAAATAACAGGATCTGTTAATTCATGCCTAAAGTACAATATGTGTGACAAAGAAACAAAAAAAGATTACTACCCAAAAGTTTGACAAAGGCTGGTGGTAGAATTCAGTGCATGAAAAGTGTTAAAATATCACCATTTAAAATACCCTGGGTTGTCTACTTTTCAAAAATATATGGTTTGATGGGGGTAAAATACATTGGCTCAAATGGGACATGGGCGCAGGTTGATTACATGTCAAAATTCCAAGTTGGGAAACTGATAAGCGCACCTGCCAAACGTAGCCTTTTAGCCCCCAAAGAACCCGACAGGCCTATGAATGGGTGGTATCACTGTATTCAGGAGATCTTGCTGAACACATATTGGGGTGTTGTTTGGCAGTGACACATAACAGGATCTGTTAATTCATGCCTAAAGTACAATGTGTGTGAAAAAAACAGAAAATAAATTACTAACTCAATGTTTGACAAAGCCTGGTGGTAGAATTAGTGCATGGAAAGTGTTAAAATACCACCATGTGAAATACCCTAGGGTGTCTACTTTTCAAAAATATATGGTTTGATGGGGGTAAAATACATTGGCCGGCTTCAAAAATGTCCCAAATAGGACATGCATGCAGGTTGACTACATGTCAAAATTCCAAGCTGGGAAACTGATATGCGCACCTGCCAAATGTGGCCTTTTAGCCCCCAACAACCCGACACACCTATACATGGGGGTATCCCTGTACTCGGGAGATGTTGCTGAACACATATTGGGGTGTTGTTTGGTAGTGACACCTAACAGAATCTGTGAATTTATACCTGAATTGCAATGTATGTGAAAAAAATAAACTACCTATGCAAAGTTTGGCAAAGGTTTGTGGTAAAATGGCTGCATAGAAAGTATCAAAATATTCTTAGATGAATACCCTGGGTTATCTAGTTTAAGAAAAATATATACATGTGGGGTGTTTTTGGAGATTTATGACATAACAGTGTTACAATGTCACTATTGATACATTTGAAAAATGTACATTTTGAAACAGCAATTTCCTACTTATACTTATAGCCCTATAACTTGCAAATAAAAGCAAAAAAACACATAAACATTGGGTGTTTTTAAACTCAGGACAACATTTTGAATGTATTTACCAGTTTGTTTCATTTGATTTTGTAGATCAGTAAAAAAAAATTTAAGTAAAAGTAATGTTTTTTTTTTAATTTTTCACCATATTTTATTATTATTTTTTAAATTAAATTATATGACATGATAAAAATAATAGTATGTAAAGAAAGCCCTTTTTGTCCTGAAAAAAAAAAAATAATTTGTATCAGAACAGTAAATGAGAGAGCAGAAAATTACAGCTAAACACAAACACCTCAAAAGTGTTAAAATAGCTCTGGTTCTTAACGTACAAACATCGCAAAAACAGTCCGGTCCTGAAGGGGTTAAAAAAAACCTAAAAATGAAAATAATATGCAATATATAAATTGTGTTCCTTCCACAAGTACAAGAATACATTTTACAGAAATATGTCTATATTATACTATAAAATTATATATATATATATATATATATATATATATATATATATATATATGTGTGTGTGTGTGTGTGTATGCATTGTCACACACGCACGCATGCACACATGTTATACATTGCTTAATTCTGAAATAATATAAATTGTATGAAAAAAAGTGGAAGTCATCTCATTACAAGGACGCAATGCAACTCTGTTTTTACATAGCTAGCTCAAAGAAAACTCTTTAGAATACATAAAGCTAAAATGCAATTCTGTCCATGTGAAAGCACATTTTACAAAATTCTCAAACATACATAGAAGATCCTTGTATAAGTTATTTTTAAATTACATATCTGGAGGAATCAAACGTCCTTTGCACTTGCTCTTAAGAGCACTTTCTGAAAATTTTGAGCATAGTTTCCATCTAATACAAAATAATAGAGCAAGTTGCTGCATATTAAAGATATTGTACAAAGTGTAAAAGTCTACAATTCAATCAATGTAACCTCTTCAATGCCAGTATTATATTTATTATACAGATGATGCATGACCTATAGATCTTAGAGAGGAAATTCTTCAAAAAATGAATCATTCTTCTGGTAAAATAAATAAACTGTTTGATTAAACCATGTCTTCTGAATAACTAAAATGATGTGCAATAGAATACTGAGAACAGACAAAAACTCAAATAAATTTCCCTTTGGTGGGTTCTGCTCAGTTCTCAACAGAGTTTTAGATCACCTGTGTAATTACAGAGAGCTCTATACCATTTGCATGTCAGACTGATCCTTCCTAAAAAGGCAGTCTAGATCTGAAATGCTCCCAGACTCAGTGTAAAACAGGAACCTCAAACAATTGTTTCAGCCTTGGTGGGCCTTGTCACCAGAGGCTTTGCTAGGTTCCAGAGTGTCCGAGGCTGTGGCACACAGGATATCTCAATTCAGTTCCTCCACACTATCTAAACACTAGAGAAGTGTTCAGCAAAGTTTTGTTTTCATGTACCTCCTCCTAATAGACATATAATACTAATATTCTCCTGCCACCTCCACCAACTGTATGTCTATGCGTTCCAGACTTCAGGCTGTAATTGACTGCAAAGGATTTGCAACCATGTATTAAAAAGTGAAAGTTTGATTTATGACTGTTAATCTGTCCCATTACTTTTGGTCCCTTAAAAAGTGGGAGGCACATATACAAACTGTTGTAATTCCTACACCGTTCGCCTGATTTGGATGTAAATACCCTCAAATTAAAGCTGAAAGTCTGCAGTTAAAGTACATCTTGTTCATTTCATTCCAAGTCCATTGTGGTGGTGTATAGAGCCAATAAGATTAGAATTGTGTCGATGTCCCAATATTTATGGACCTGACTGTATATTAACTAATTTATTCCATAAAAATATAATGTTTCCACATTTATCTCATGCAATTAACGGAGAATGTGTAAGTGATGAATAAACAATCTATTAGATGATTATATGTATAAAACGTTCGTTCAGTATTGTGGTTGGTGGATAGTTGTCCTTGGGCTATTTATTGAAACATTTGAATGATAAATATATTTTACATGGTATTTGGTGTTGAATGTAGTGGAAATGCTAGACTGTGCAATGTCAAAAAAAATAAAAAAATAAAAAGGATTTTGCATTTGTGTTTGGGATATAATAGCCTAATACCACATAGGATTGAATTCATGTTTTTCTTTTCTCTAATATATTTTTTGAAAACTCAAAAAATGCTAATTTTCAACCATTATATCTGTATTGGAAAACCAAATGTTCTTCGTTTTATGGTTTTCATTGAGTTCAATTGCAGTTTTACAATATTTAATGTAAGTGAACTGTGTGGATTTTTATTTTAAGTAAGGGTAATGTATTGAATATGGATGATGAGTTTTGTAAAAAAAACAACAACGATATAATACATATCAGGTATGATTGTAAAGAAAAAGACGAACAATGCCTTTTTGCATGAGCTGCATGAAAGATTACAATTGGCAGCAAAAAGATTAGTCTTTTCATTCTGGTTTGTATGGAAATGGAAGTACTGGACTGAATTGTTCTAAGTTAGATGGCTTCCCGGCAGCAAAATTAATTTGTGTAGGAGAACAAGGAGTATTGTCCTTGATGCAGAAGAGCGATTTCAGCAGCATGATCTTGATTAGAATCTCCAAAAAAACGTGGTTTATAGATTGCATTAAATCCTCTACAGGAACAATCAGTAAATTATTCTCTAAGAAAAGAGAGGACCAGCCAAGGGCAAAAGTATGGCAACGATGACCTAAAGACTGTTAAGGTTGTAGTCCAATGACTACTGCGAAAAATGTAATACAAGAATCCAAAAAGACAAAATGTTATTTGCTATTTGATGACTTTAGCAGGAAACAAATCTAGAACATTTCAACTGATATTTCTGTGCGGACTGAGTGAGTCCAGTCCTAAATCTCTATGCTACTGGTGCATTCTTGATAGGAGTCATATACATATTACTAGATTATAAGGAAGAACCATGGTTTTTTCATATAATGAAAGACTATCAGCTCAATTAATGTTAGGCTCAAGTCCATCTTCTTTTAGTAGTTCTTCAGCTATGCTGGTATCAGTTGAGGGATATTTGGATGACTGCTATAATAGAAATATTGAAAGACCAACACACACAACATACACACAACATTAGACGATGTTTAATTGAATTGATCTGTGCAGGAGACCAGATGCAGAGATGATATAAGGTTACGTGGGGGCTGACCGGCATAACGGAGGCGTTCCGAAGTGGAGAACTATATACGTATAGTCTGAGAGAATAATATGCAGGATTGGAGAACAGATTACAAAGTCAAAATACAATTGAATAAGATAAGTGAGTGAGTGATTGAGTTAACTGAGATGAATGCTTAGAAATCAGTAGTGGTTTAAATTTAACCCAGCACAGAGTCAGTATTCATCCAAATACTTTAGAAGTACTAGGAGTATTCCAATAATGTGGTTGAGGAAGCAGAGCTGAGGTGACACACCGAAAGAGTCAAAGCAGATCCAATGGTAATAAACAGCCTGTTTAAGACTGCCTAGTCTGTAAAACTGTGCACTCTTAATGTGCTGACACCAAACGGTTTGGCTCATGTGCCTTGCATGTTACTACTAACTAATTTTTCAGTTCTCAGAATCTCCAGCTCAACTCAGAACTGATATTACTCTTTCCTCACTGGGAATTTCTTCCGAATCTACAAATTGGATCCTGGTACTCACCTTGTTTCCTGAATTTCTCCAATGGACTTCAAATGTTCTCCAGCTGCTTTCATAGTTATTTTATCTAATTTTGCCAATAATAGTCTCTGCAATTCGATATACTATTTTCCTGCATGATTTGTATTGAAGAGGAGTGAATATGACAATGCTGTTAACATGCTCAGGCTGCCAGATCCCAGGTCAGAAACTGGCACTGATCAGAATAATGAGGAATCATAAGTAGGAGTACAGTGGTGGTACCAGTACGAATCTTAGAGGAATCGTGAGCATGAGCAAAGTAGTGGTACTAGCCAGGGTATCATGGTGGAACCATGAGCAGGAACTGAAAAGGAACAGTATTACACATGGGCAGTATACCACTGGACTCAATAATCAAACAATTTGGAGTTCACAAATCAAATCTTAACTAGGATAAGATAATCAATGAAACCTAAACCAGTTGAAATACAAAGAACCAGAATGACAAAATCCATTGTCAGGTTACTGAGTAAAGCTAACCCTTTACTTGCCAAACATTCTGACAGAAAGGTTAAATTAAAGATACTAACATTGTTATTCATACATTAATAACATTGGATTGGACTCCTGGTATCATATGGATTTCTCTTGAAGGGTCATTTTCTCTTGAAGGTGATATTTTTGATCTTCTAAAAAATATTAGTCTTTTTTTTAATTATTTTTTTCTCTTGGAGTATGTAGAGGGTCTTCAGACACACTTTACATACAAGAGGTTTATTGCAGAG